AAATACAGACATCAGAGGGCACTTATTTGGATCCTGAGACACAAAATCAGATCCTCAGACTCTGCAGACTTGCACTTGCCCTGACCCACCAAGTCCTCTCATCAGCCCTTCATAATTCTTTACAAAGATTATCAGCTAAGAGTGTGGTGGTGTGCTCCTTTGAAAGACAGGCAAGCTGATTCTCTCAAGACCAACCTGGTCTATGTGATTTTTTTTTTTCTTCAAGAAACAAAACAAAAAGACATTTCTTTTTTTTTAAAGATTTCTTTTTAAATATTTATTTATCTATTTATTTATTATATATACAATATTCTGTCTGTGTGTATGCCTGCAGGCCAGAAGAGGGCACCAGACCTCATTACAGATGGTTGTGAGCCACCATGTGGTTGCTGGGAATTGAACTCAGGACCTCTGGAAGAACAGGCAGTGCTCTTAACCACTGAGCCATCTCTCCAGCCCCAACAAAAAAATTTCTTTTAGGAAGGGTGTCAATGTCAAAACCCCACTAGGGTGTACTAAGTAGAAACCAGAAAATGGAAAAATCATGGTAACTCATGCCTATACTTTTAGCACTCAAGATTCAAGCTAGTGCAGGTGAATTGCCATGAGTTTCCTTGTCTACAAAAAAACCAGCAACATAAAGCCATTGGGTTTGTTTTGCTTCAGGTTTGGTTGGGTTAGGTTGTTTAGTTTGATGTTTTTGTTTTTGGTATCTTTTTGGGTGGTTGTTTGGTGGTTTTTCGGGACAAGGTTTTTCGCCTTGACTGTCCTGGAACTCACCTGAGATCTGCCTGCCTCTCCCTCCCAAGTGCTGGGATTAAAGGCGTGCGCCACCACTACCCAGCTACACTTGGTTTTTGGAACAGTCTCACAGGCAACTCCAGAGATCACTCTTGAGTCCAGACAGGTCATACGCTCCTGCCCTGCAGTTGCCAGCGTGATCCTCCTCAGCCAACTCCATTTACTTGTTACTTTGCCTTTCTTTTTGTGCTTATTGTGTTACCTGTTTGTTTCAGGCATAATAAGAATTGTTCAAAAATGTTTCTTTTGTGTGTGTGTGATTTGTTTCTGTGTTTGAGACAAGGTCTCTGTAATAGCTCTGTGTACCTCTACTATCCTAAAACTTGCTTTGTAGACCAGGCTGGCCTCAAACTCACAGAGATCTGCCTGCCTCTGTGTCCCCAGTGCTGAGATTAAAGGTACGTGCCAATACCACCCAGCTTATACCTGTTAATTTCTATTAACAGTTTGTGTTAGGTTCTTGTGATCTTAAGTGAACTGAACACCATTTTCTCTTTTTTAATCTCCTGTGTGCAGACACCCAAGTTGGCGAAGTGAAGAAACTCAGGAAAGGGAACGGTCAAGGACAGGAAGTGAGTCATCACAGACTGGGGCCTCAGCCACATCTGGCAGAAGTAAGTCAGGCCAGGATGGGTATCAGTATTGCTGTTTCCATAACCAGAGTATGGAGGGACTTTGCAGTGTTTGTAGATTAGGTCTTCAGACAAGATCTCTTTGTAGCCTTGGGTATCCTGAAACTTGTTGGGTAGACCAGACTAGCCTTGAAGTTTATTTTTTTTTTAAAAAAAAATATTTATTTATTTATTATGTATACAATATTCTTGTCTGTGTGTCTGCCTGCAGGCCAGAAGAGGGCATCAGATCTCATTTCAGATGGTTGTGAGCCACCATGTGGTTGCTGGGAATTGAACTCAGGACCTTTGGAAGAGCAGGCAATGCTCTTAACTGGAAACCATCTCTCCAACCTCCCCTTGAAGTTTATTTTGTCAAGGGGTAGAGATTCATGTCATGCCTTGAGGCCAGAGGAAAACCTACGAAGTCTGATTCTCTACCATGAGTGTTCTTTGGAGCCACGGTAGCACTGGCCTTCATAAGCTCTTCTTGGGGGTGACATTATTGAATGTTGTAGACAACCTCACAGCGGTGTCCTGGAGGGTGAAACATTCTTTCGTCTTCAGTCTGTCCACTCACACGCAGCTAGCGTTCATGACAACACCCTTCGCATACTGTGACCCGCTCTTGCCTAGCTCTTCTGTGCCCAAGTTTACTTGTACTTGAGTATTTTAAAGGAGTTCAAGGCCAAAGTGATTTGTACATTGAGCCAAGTGTTGTAACAGTTTTCTGGAAATGTTTCATGTTTGCAGTAGCCCAGTAACATAATGTGGTGATCCTTGTGGCTAGGTTAAGTGTGGTGTTGGTTTGTGTAGCATTTGTACTTCAAATGTAGGAGGCACCTGGCAAATTTGCCTCCATGGTTCCAGAAAACTTTTATGCAAATACGGGTGTGTCTAGTTTTTACCCTGTGTACAGGCAATTATCTCCTTTACACAGGTAGATTTTCCTTTTTCTGTATTCATAAAGCATTTTTCTCCAGATGACTTGGAAACCTGGTTTTTGTGTAATTAAAACCATTAGCCAAATCAGTCCCTGCTGATGGAAAGGAATTACTGGGTGATCATTTCCATACAGTTGCAGTCTGTGTGAGTGCTGTACAGTGCTATACAGTGAGTCTCCCCCCCCCCCCCAGATACACGAAGGAGAGAGAGTGAGAAGTCTCTAGAAAATGAAACCCTCAATAAAGAAGAAGACTGTCACTCTCCAACCTCCAAACCTCCTAAACCTGATCAGCCTCTAAAGGTAATGCCAGCCCCTCCACCAAAGGAGAATGCGTGGGTGAAGCGAAGCTCTAACCCTCCTGCTCGATCTCAGAGCTCAGACACAGAGCAGCAGTCCCCTACAAGGTGAGTAGGCCTGCAACGGCAGCTGCTTAGCTGGAGGTGCCCTGAGGGGGGCTGGCCTTTGTAGTATTGCAGATGAGGTTGCCTCCTGTATAATTCATACTCGGGTGTCTCATAACAGTGTCTGTTTTCTTGAATTTTTGTTAGCCAGTTGGCATCATTTCGATGGGTTGAAATCAGCTATAATGGAAGTATTTATTCCTCAGAAATAGTTCAATATGTTGGGCTTTGCCCTAAGCCATGCTGTTAATACAACCTTGGAGGGTCTTGTCTCTTAAGTGGCTTAAAATTCTCTTAAATTTTCTCAGTTTTTGCAAAGACTGCTGCTAACATTGCTGGGATGTAAATTCCAAAGCATATGGCACTTGAGTGTGGAAATGACTGTTTTCATTGTCTTTCCTATACTAAAATATTGCCGTGTTAAACGTGTGGGCTCTTGTGTATTTCTGGAAAGGCATCCCACTACGTTCAGAAAACATCATAGGCTTGTGTTGTCTTCCCTTGAAAACTGATGGTTGCGTTCTTGTTTCCTGTAGTGGTGGAGGGAAAGTAGCTCCAGCTCATCCCTCTGAGGACGGACCATCGAGGAAAGGTGAGCTCACACCAAGGAAGTGGGTTTTGATCTGGTTAAAGCCTGAATACAAACACATCCAGAAGTTACAGGTTCAGTTTCCAGCACCCGTATAGTGACTCAACCATTTGCATCTCCTATTTCTTCTGGGGCATTTGATGTCCTTCCTCTTCTATCCTCCACAAGCACCAGGTATTGGTGGTGCACATTCATGCAGGTTATACTTATAAAAGTAAAATGGCTTAAAAGAAAAATTTCCAGAGTTAAGCACCTTGTTTTTCAAGATAGGGTTTCTCTATGTGGGCTTGGTTGTCCTGGAATTCACTCTGTAGACCAGGCTGGCCTCGAACTCGCAGAGCTCCGCCTGCCTCTGCCTCCCAAGTGTTGGTACTAAAGGCATGAGCCACCACCACCAAGTGTTTCTTTTTTTTTTTTTTTAAAGTAAATGCTGCAGTAGTTTTTCAGTTTCTCTGTGTAGCTTTGGAGCCTGTCCTTGAACTCCTAGGATTAAAGGCCTGCACCACCATCACCACGTGGCTTCTAGTTCTTGCTTTTCTAGTTGGCATTCACTACACTGGGACTTTTTAATAGGTCTTGTTTGGTTTGGTTTGAACTTGGGAAGAAAGGTCTTGGCAGCCTGGTTTGGAGTGGGGTTAATTTCCTTTAGTACATGTTTTCTTCACCTTAGAGGAAAGCTAGGACAAGAAGATAGGTCACTTTATATTGTTTGAACTTGGTTTTGTATTTCTGCTTAAACAGATGAAAATAAAGTAGATGGGGTGAGTGTCTTAAGAGGCCAACCTGGGAGCTCCGGTCGCGGGCCTGGAGACCATTGGAAGGAGTTGGATAGGTATGTGTATTTTCTCTTCTCATTTGGGGTCTTTTGAAGTTAGGTGCAGGGGGCTTTGTGAAGAAATTCTTGGCTTTCCCAAGTGTTACCGTGTCTACCACTGAACAAACTAAAATTACGGTTACAGTTGGGGTATCTAAAATTTCTGCACTTGTCCCAGTGACGCTGTTGGCTAGGTGGTCTGTGCTCATGTCTCTGCAGGAAAGAAGGCAAAAACGATAAAGACTCGAGATCTGCACCTGAGCCAAAGAAACCTGAGGAGAGCCCAGCCTCTGTAAGTGTCATGTGCTTGCGTCCACTTCTCAGCTCAGGGCTGCATCAGACTCCTTTTTTCTTGAGACTGGAGGAGTTGGAAATGAGGTTGTGGCGTTTTTTCAAATTAGTGAAAAAAAAGCTTTTTGTTGATGAGTCACCATTTCTGAGTTCTCATCCTCTTGGTATATGTATGGCTGAGGAGTTCCTTGGGACCCTGGCCCTCCCTGACTGCTGCACTGGGACATGCTCCCCCTAGAGGGACGCAGCCATGCCAAAGCATTGAAGTTCTGCTTCCAAGTATTTGGTAGGAGAATCTCAGATCCCGTTACCTTGTCCCTCTCATCTGTTACAGAAATTCAGCTCTGCAAGCAAGTATGCTGCTCTCTCTGTGGATGGTGACGACGAGACCGAGGGAGACGACCACACTGAGTAGGCCTCCACACGCTGTGCTTTCTTCTAGTCTCCACCCCGGAACACTCAAGGGCAAATCAAACCTCTATCCAGACGAGAAAAAATAAAACTCACCATCTCCTGGAGACCTTTCTTAACTTTTTTTAATGAAATGAAATTGTTTTGCATGCTGCTGCAGCCTTTTAAAGTATTGAAGTAACTGGAGAATCAATCACCATCATAGACCAAGAGATAAGGCTACTGCTTTTGAATGGGGAAGTTATAATGTGTTCTGAGGATACCAAGCAGCTACCTGTGTGGCTAGTGCCTGGGGCTCCATTCAGCAGGAATGTAGTGACAGACTCAGTCACATAAGTTGGGCAGTAGAAAAAGGCACAAGGAAGAGTTGAGATTTCTACCTTTTAGTTCATACCCTGTGATGGCACCTATGAATTCCCCAAACATCATCTGAGTACATTTCCCATCCTTGGAAAGGTAGATTTAGTCTCTCAAGTTATTTTAGTCTCCAGGAGGCTGCCAGCCCTTCTACTTTAATTCTGACTTAACTGGGGTCAGCCTAGAGGGAATTGTTGTTTGTTTGTTTGTTTGTTTACCCCCCAAGGGGGTAGTTGGGAATGAGTCTGCAGGCCACTAACAAGTAGTATTGCTTGGGGACCAAAATAAATGGAAAGCTCAATCGTGGTTTGAAAAGCTTTGGTTGGGGGAGTGATCAGTTATTTTATACCAGGTAGTGCGGGAAATGGTGTGACCTCCAATAGACACTTGAATAGAACGGATCATTTCCTGGATGGGGAAGCACTTAGCAGTTGTGGGAAATTCCAGTCTTCTAAGACCTGTCCTTTCTAGAGGTTCAAATATATCCACATTCTTTTAAAACCTTATCACTCTGGTCATCTCGCATTCTTGATGACACTTAGCCTTCAAAAAGCAGTCTGTGTAAGTCACACACCTGTTCTTACAGGCATTTTATTGGCCACCGGAAGCTGTGGCCTGAGGAATCACTGCTTTTCTCAAGCAAACCAGTTCTATGCTGTCTAATTCCGGTCCCTGCCTGCCCCTGCTGTTGTCAGAGTATTTCAGTTGATGGACTTGGTGACATGGGGAGAGTTGAGTTAAAGGTCTTCAGCCTTGATGGTGTGTGAGGTTTCTATACATTTCCTTCACTGGAACCCCATACTGGTGCTTGGGTTTCTAATGTGACCTAGACTGTGGCTTTCTGTTAATGGGGGTTGGTTTCTTGACTTCCCTCAAGAATAAAGGATAATGCAAAGAACTGTTGAATAGTTTCTTGCTTCTCTTGCAACACAGTAGCTTGATGTCTGCTTTGATCTGCGCCTTTTTGTAAGGATCAGCTCCAAAGAGGCCAAGCTTCCCTGTTGTAGGATGTCAGGATGCCTGCAGACAAAAGAGAATTTGGTCCTGATGTGCAAGCCCTTAGGCCTGCTGTGCAGGAGCTTTGGTTCAGTTTGCTGCAGCAGTGGGCATAGCAGCTCACTTGATTGGCTAGTAGCTAGTAAGTGGGCTTTAGTGAAAGACCCACCGCTGAATGGGTTCTTTAAACAGTTGGTTGTGGACAATGAAAAGGTAGTTTGCCCTATTCATGTCTATTTCCCTTCCAGGTAGTTGCACCCAGAAGAAAGCTGTTCTGTCCCACTCTCTACTCCTGTTAAAATAAAAACAGGGGTTGACTTATGTCCCGCTCCTGAATACATGTAAAATTTGTACAAAAATATCTTCTATGAAAATGATTTGTAATCTGTAGACATTATTACTTGGGAGATGTCTTGAGATGTAAAATCCCATCCTTTGGGTTGAGGGTTTTTTGTTTTTCTCCAATAAATCCAGTCTTTAAAGTTGAAGTTAATGCTGCAGTTTTTGGGTACCCCTGTGTTTTTAATTGCTCTTGCCTCTTTTCCGCATTTTTACATAGCAGTGGAGTCCTTGAGTTTTACATAGCAGTGGAGGTGTAGGCCTCGGTAGATTTGGTGACTTGGTTACTTAAACCCCAGCATTTTGACTAGTGCAGGAATGGCATGTTGAGGCCTGTGCCTCCTTAAATTCCGAGCCGTCCATGAGGCCAAGTGGTGCCATCCATACTGACTGGAGTTGGACACAGCTGCTGTGAGACACCAGTATAGAACCACTGTTCTTCGTGCGATGAGACAGACCTGATCTCACTGAAAAGCAGGAAGAGACAGCCTCTCAAGTCACAAGAAGCACGTTTGAGAGCCTTCAAGATGATGCAGCACTGGCTGGTGGCCATCAAAGGCAACTGCTTTTCTAATTCCAGTTGCCTTTAGTGGTTTTGTTTTTGTTTCTGAGGCTCTCACCTCACAGTCAGTGCAGCCTCTCCCTCCCCAGCACCTCTCCATCTCCTCTAGTCTCCTGCTGTCAAGTGCCCACTGGGCAGTCAGGTCCAGCTTCTTCCCAGCTGCCAGGTTAGAATCAGATGTTCATTCCCCAGCAGTCAGATCCAGACCGCCAACCCAGCCTTTGCCAGAGTCAGGATGAGCCCAGAACTCTGCTGAGATGGGGCAGACAGGCAGGCAAACCCAGAAGGCTTGAGCAGCCAGTGCTGGGTTGCTTTGGGCACCTATGCTGGCCTTAAACTCTAGGCACTTACCACTTCTCAGCGTGGAGATCCTCCAGCTCCACCAATTTCCAGTACGTAAATTCCAGTAGGGAGGGTAGCAACAAAATTGTTTAGGATCTGCTAAAGAATGCTGGGAACACAGGAAAGGCAATAGGTTCAAAGATCTAGGACCACATCCCTCCCCTCCACCTTCTCCGGAGTGTCACAACTCAAAGTAGCACCATGGCCCATTAGTTTAATTCCAGACGTTCCTATCCAATATCGGACTTAAAAGAAGGGAATGAAATGACACCATCAAAAGAACTTCCATTGGCAAGACCGAAGAACACCTGGGTGATGACTAAAGCCGTTGATTGGCGGGAGTTTTGCGCTCCCTTCTCTGGGTCCTCAGTTCTGAGTCCTTTGGGAGAAGAGATGACACAGAAAGCTCCAGTGGGGCACAGCATTAGGAAGCGGTGTCCGAAAACCTGGGACACCAGTAACGGGTGTCTAAGTCTGGCGCCCACTCCAGGTCAGGCCTGGTTCAGATTAGTCCCGCATTCCGCTCCTGCAGTAACCAAGAGGCGGCCGAGAAGCCAAGGCCTCACAGCTGTTCTCTGTACCCATCTGGATCTGTGTCCACCTTTTGGGAGTTCGTGCAGATCACGCGTTTCTCTCCGCCCGTATCCCTCTGCAGCCTCTCGGTCTGAGACTTCCCAGGACTGTCTTCCCACGTGAATCCCTCCCCGGCTCTGGCTGCCAGCTCCTTCTGCGAGTCTCGGTTGAAGCCTGCCTCGGCGCGCCGAGCCGTTCGCGGGAAGGGCAGTGGGAGGAGAGGAGGGAGAAAGGAGGCGGCGCGGGCGGGGAGCGGGTGGAAGGTGGCGATTGGAGCCCGGGAAGAAGGAGGGAGCCGGAGGGCGGGAGGAGGCGGCGGGCGCAGGGCGCGGAGGGAGGGAGCCAGCTG